CGTGTCCCTCTGTACCCATTTACCATGCTGTGAGGAAATTCCATTGATGACATACAAATAAAGTTGTCAGGTCAGACGCATGCCACCAGTGATCTCTGAAAGAAGCTGGATATCATCCTATGATCCAACAGGCTCTTGCATCTCCCAGTTTAGCAATCGCTGTGAATAGTCACTTCAAAATGTTCTATTTTTTAGATTATCAGGAGCAAGTTTAATGTTTCACCTCCACTGGGCTGACGTAAAGAATTATGAAGGCTAAATGTCTCATCTCCACTCTTCCATTTCGCTTTACTTTGAGGCGATTCAAACTAAACGATGTGATTAGCCACAATGCCGCTTGACACTTATTATAAGTTTGGAGAGACAATGGTTCAGTAAACAATTGTTTAACTCCTCATTTAGGCTCTATGCGAGGATTTTAGGACTCCGCCATTGTGCTTCCGAGGGGCAGCATGGCCTCCGGACCATGCCAGCAGTCCCTGCTTCCCCCCTTTCAGGCCTTCATCAGGTGGGCAATATATTTTCTGACTTCAGGAACGACTTAGAGCACTAGGTACTATTGAAGAATAAATAAATTATAAACTCATCAACTTTAGGAGGGAGAAGAGAATTACACTTGCCTTAGCAACCATTCATCACCGGTTTGAAATGGAATTTTACACTTTTAATTACCTAATGGAGTTGATTGTTATTTTTCCTCTGGTATTTGAAGAAACCGAAAGACTTTCAAGGACAAATAAGTCCTCTTTCGGGATTGAGATAGGAAATTTCAGCTTGCCTTAAATTGATGGTAGTTAAGGTGCTGCTGATCACAATGCTTCTGATTCATCTTCCTGAGTTTCAACAAAGAAGCTTTTACACTCTGTGGATGGAATTTGGCTTTACGATCCCTTTTTTCTTCTCTGAATGACTTGGGTCCAAGGAAAGAACCTTTATGTCTATACATGGGGAAGGGAGCAACTCTCGAAATTAGAGATGACGGAGGTTATTCGGATTTTTACGCAACCTGCCGAAGCGCTTTTATTCGGCTTGTCTAATCTGAGCTTACGGACCCGCTTTCTTTGACATCATAATTCGTCGAGCCATAGTGTCTGCATGGTGCCAAGAAGCCCCCAGTAGATTTCGTCTTACGCTTATGTGAATGGTGGAATACAAATGGACCCGTCCACTTATCAAAAACTAAACAATTATCCTCGAGTTATCGAAAACCTCACTGGAAGTTGTCCAAGAGGAACAGATCCCTTTGAATCACCTATAGTAGGCTATCTAGTACTAGTGAAGCAGTCAATGGGACAAGGCAAGATTCCATACTGCCTCAGAATTTAGCCATGAGAAGGTTTGTCCGTTGGGAAGTGGTGACATGGAATAGGCTAAAATGCCACTAGTGGGTGATGTCGTCCGTCATCCTCCTCCACGGTCTTTTAGTCCTCTTTCCCCAAGCCTCAATTAATTGTCACCACTGCTTGGCACATCGACTAGGTAAACACATTCAATGTAAAATACCCAGTGGGAGATTGTTTGCTCTTTAGGAGAAAAAACATCTAGTAGAAGTGGGAGTTGTCCCACTGGGAACAACTAAAGATTACCACGGTGATTTTACAAAAATTGCTCCTGTTTGTTAAATAAATATCCAATGTACCTGATAGGTGGCTAGCATATTACTATAAAAAAGCATTTCTGGCTCTTATTTGCCTTTTTCTCCTGTTAGAAAATGTGTTTTTTCATTAAAGGTTTTACTATAAACTCCTTACTTTGTAAAGCATCTTAAAACATTAAATTCATCTGTTGCAGCAGCGGTGATTAACGACAAGACCTTGAACGAAAATTCTCGATGAGATACAAATGAAAGCAAAAAGTGGATAAAATTGCAATTTCATAAAAAGGTTTCTAGGTGGGATTACTTCCTCTCCTCCCCTTTTCTGGCGACAATTTAAAGCAGTAGTAGAGAGAAGCCTAGAACATAGTGGCGCCTCGTTTGTTAAGTACACAAGAAAATGGATAAAGGAAGAGGAAGATAATGCAACCAAGACTCATGATGGGAGTCAGCAACTCCTCCTCCTTCCTTACTTATAGAGAATGTTAAGAGTTTTTGTTTCCCAAAATAAGAAATGATGACAGTTAAGTCATGTGGAGAGACATAGAGTCTCCAGGAAGGATCCAATTGTATTTTGGGCGTCACTGTTAAACTACTATTTACCTGGAATGAGAAAATACCTCCTTTCCTGGAAGAAATTGCATTATTCAACAATTCAACATAAATGTTAAAATTTTCAAGTCATACACTTCAAATCTTGCAAATAATTGTGAACACGTTTCTTTTTTGAGAAGATAATCGTGAAAGGGAAGGTGAGTGCTTCAGTTAGTGGGAAGAGGGGAAGAAAAGGGAGCGACTTCGCTTATTTTCATTTTCTGGTCCTGGATTTCCACCCTTCTGATGGCTGCGATCTCGGCGCTGTTGATTCAGAAAGAATTTTCTTCATCTTTTATAACATTGGTAAAAAATATCCTAACCTTTGACTTTTAATTTTGAAAAACAATTGACGGCTATAAGCAAAGAAATGTAGAATGATAGCTTAACTAATCGGTTATGTGAGTTCCAAGTCATTGTGTATATATAGTAAATCCTATTAACTTGTCAATTTACAGTGATTTAAAAAGTTTTTTTTCAAAGAAAAGACGGGTTTTTAACTACTCCTACTCAAATAAAACGCTAAAAAGCAACTACTTTTTATCAGAAAGAGTTTTACTGGATACGCAGCTGCCACCTGAAAAGGTAGGTGAAGCGAAATTTGGCAGACCATCACAAAGCAAGAAGCTCAAGGGCTTATATACTTGGAGTTCTTCAGAAACATGCAATAAACAAGCCTGCGTTCATTCTAATTTTTTAATAAAATCCCCAGTGTAGAGGTTTCTGCATGACTCGATTTTAATGGTCCTGCAATAGTGCACCTCAGGCATGGCCTCATTCCATTAGGGAGTAAGAAGGTGTTTCAAACCATCACGCAATACCCTCTTAAGTGGTGAATTAGGCTATCCAAACCTATCTTTATTGTGGACAATTACTTTAGTCGAGATGACTGATTTGGCATCGCCTGGTGCTCTTATTTTTTTTGCGATAAAGGAAGTATTAAGGATTCGATGCAGGGTTTGACTAATTTTGGCGCGTTGAAAGCTTCACATTTTTACAACTTATCAAGAAAGTAACAGGAATCTCCCTACAAGTCATCCATTAGTTTCAAGTCTATGAGGTTTGGAATAACACCAAAGGTTCAGTAAATCTTCCTGAATTGCATTGATCCAGACAAACTACAGAAAGTAATGTCAAACATTTTGGTGGAGGTTTTCCTAAAGGAATGCCTATATCCAAAATATTTTTACCACTTACTTACTAATAAAGCGACACAAAAGGGCAATAGACGTTACTTAAATTTCACGTTTGTCACTAAAAATCGCCTTGATTACTGTTGATTTATTCTAGGAGTTAATAATAGCATAGCACAAAGGCTAGGTGTGTCTTTGACTATAAAATTTTTAATAAACCCCCTTACTACAAGGCATCACTTAGAAGTGCTCGGAGTTGGAGGGAACGCCTACTTAAGAAGATGGCGTTTCCAAACCAGGCAAAAGTTTTGAGTTGCGTTCTACTCCCCAGAGTTGGAGTTTTGCACGGCTATCCTATATAATTCCCCACTTTAAAATACCGCTAGTGTACTGTAAGACGGGAGTCATAGGTTTCCTCTTCCTTGTTCCTAGTACTCTCAACATAACCCGGTTAGTTTAATTTTAACATGTTTATTGGAAGAAGTGGATAAGGAAAATGAGTACAGGGTTTAGTGGAGTGAGGGTTCAGAATCGCTCTTGGGCTTGCAGGGCGTCAATTCTGTCACCAGGTCCGAATTAAATTCGCAACTCTTCTCTAAAAGGAACATTAAAACAATATAAGTATTACAGTACACCCAGGCATCGCATCGTTAAAAGAACAAACTCCAACACCTATTTGTTCATCATCTAATGAATAAGGGAAAAAAAGAGGCTCACGTCTGGGTAAAAGGATGCAAAAAAGCCCAAACACCCGGAAACTATTGGAAGAGAATGGTTAAAAGGAACACCCTTTTCTTATCAGTGGTGAACCAGAACATTTTGGTCATCAAAGTAGAAGCGCTTAAGTATTTGCAATTACCTGGAAGCACTTGCGTGTAGGCTTCCAGTAATGGCCTATACGTTCACTCACAAAACATTCCATTTTTCTCACAGACAATTAGGTACGATATTCAGCCAAAGAAATATTAAAAAGGGAAGCATTGAAGTCAATTATTTTTCTCCTTTGTTTAAGACTGTCTAAGTTATTACAGTTTAATAGAAAACAAAGGTCATTCCTGCTGGCTTTTTACGTCCAAAATTCATATTGTTGGAAAAAGGAGATAAGAGAAAAAAAATAATTTGCGAATGCATTAAGCATGTCGAGGTGGTTCGCTCTTATTATGTTGCAGTACTTTTGAAGTTCATTTCTTCTCCGAACAAATTTAGGGATTTTCATAGGAAAACACACGCAATATGGGGAGTGGACTAAAAACTTGCAAAGTAAGAACTGAATTTGAATCACGGTGATTTTGTGTAAAACCGCAATCATATCTAAATCAGATAAAGTCGACTTTGATTGTTTTAGCTTATTCACGGATGCGTTATAGCGACCAAGGCCTTCTTCGAAGTTAAGCAAGGCCAGACCTGGTTGGGAAGGTAAACCAGGGAACCAAGTTAGCGATTCTTCAACCCCACTTATGTGAGGTGCAAATAGGCAGCGTAGTTAAATATGCACTTAAAGCAATTGTTCTACCACATAGGAAGGGAAGAAAACAGCACATGACGTTTAGCTCAGTTCGATCCTAAAACATAAATGATGAGATAATATCGAATGGTCCACTACTTAAAATTCGCTCTCTTCTATCAGTTTATTTTGCGCCGGAGTGGCTGGTTTTAAGCGTAGGTTTACGGCTTCAGTCAACATTCAAATTTGCAGAATGTGTGCCTAAAAATTGAAAGTCGATTTCAGGCAGAAAATATCATAACTCCCCTCTTTGTTGGTAAAACATGGACAAAAGCAACATTGGACAAAAAGTTTTAGTTCACCCTTACCTTATTTGACGGGCGACTCTAAGGTCGGATAGGATGACTCATTACCAAGGGCACATTCACTGAATCACCCCTCCGGGTCGTGTTCATGATTATAATTATCGCTAGTTGACTAGACACATCTTTAGCCTTGAAGCCGCGTTAAATTGACGTCCACAGAGCAGATGTGCTCGGTTGCTGTTGCCGCTTTCAGTATTTTTTCTTGGTGTGAGGATTCAAAGCCACAGAAAACCTCCTATGATGATCTACTGGTGGAAATAGCCATCGATAAAGCCCGTCATCTGGATTCCCTTTCCACGTAGCCACCTGGGTTAACCATCTTGCCTCCACAAGCAAACAGCATGGCCACTGAGTATTCTTGATATGCCTAGTGGCAAGAAAGGGTGACAGTTGTTTGAAGCTTGCAGAAATAGCGTCAGGCGGGCACAAGGAGAGGATGGCATTCAACCTTACCCACCCAGAGCACCCCTTCCTGAGGTGGAGACCTTATCATGGATTAGCTCAGAGGCGGCGTAGAACCTTCCGTTTTGTTGTCATGGAGAAAGAGGTTTCCTTCCTCGCTTTCAGTACGTGGTATCGGCGCCGCGGCAAGTGGACAATTCCACCTACATTTCACCATGCATGCATACATACATGCACACAGGACGACGAAATGTAGTCGCCTAGGGATGACTGATGCCGTGGGAGAGCGTGACATGTTGTGCTAAACTTTGCATTGCAAAGGTCATTTCTCATCAGAGGTGAGCCGACAATCCGTCCAACGTACATGGCAGGTTTGGTAACGCGAAGCGATGAAATGAGGAACACATTGGTAGTCTCGGGGGCGCGTTATCACTTGTTACCTCACACCTAGCACCTTTGTGAACACGTCTACCGCAGCACCTTTTGCTATGGGTGTCAATCGCCTCTTTTGTCTACCACAATATCTCGTCACTGACATTTGCCTCTTCGTGGATGAGGCCATTGTCACTCGATTTTTGAGGCTGACAAGTGCAAATGGTGCGTGTCATGTTCAACTGACACGTGATGAAATGGGGGCAAAAGTGTGAAGAAGGTCCGATAACTCGCCTTACTGAGAGGTCCACGCATTTCCCTCGTGGTTTCGTAATTCATTCATCACCATTCAACCAAGTTGTACGGGGAATCCAACCAACTATTTTTTTCTCTGGAATAAATTCATCTTTTCGTCAGCCACTTTCCTCTATCCTTCTTTACCTTCCCGTAGTAGCCGAGACTTCTCTGATCACCTTGCTAGAAGACTGTCCGATCTGTGCAGATGGGCTGGTACACATGGCGACAGAAATGTTATGATGGGGTAATTAACGAGGGCATGCAAACACTTTGTGTCACGCAGCCTTTGCATATCTCCCTTTTCAAGAGCCGTTCCATTTCGCATTCCCTCTGTAGTCACATCTCTCTGGGCGCCACTACGATGTAATTGGTGGGGTGAACCAGCCTTCACGGGGCAGGACTGTAGGTCGCGCATTCGATTTCCTCGTCACTCATTGCGGAGGTTCAAGGGAATTCACTGTTTTGTCGCCTCGATAAGTCAAACCTTGCAGTTGGTCGGTACTCTAGAGCTAACGCATCTCATTTGCAATTTATAACAAAAATTTGTCCAAAAGTAGGCCTCGTCACCTTCCACAGCTCACGTCGTTGTCATCCAATCATTATCAAGCTACGTTACTCCCAGTTCCGTGGAAATGAGATGGAGAGAGAGAGAGAGAGAGCAACATCTCCTCATGATTCAGACAAAGACGATGCCACCAAATTGTTCCACTCCAGTTCCACTTCAGCGGGTAGTGGTTATCCTGCATGACTTGATCAGCGAAGATGACCGACACCTCGATAAAGCCCCCGTCAAGAGGTCTTGCACCTCATACACATCCACAACAGACGCCCTCTTTCCGTGTCCCCTAAAGCGCACTCTCCGAGGTACAGAGCCAGCACTGTTGAACACTCGACAAGGTCGCCCTGAAGCGGGTCAAGAAGGTCAGATGATAGGTGCTCAAGGCGTAAACGAAGAAGCTGTCAAGTGGACTAACACCTAGGCGGTAGCTAAATTACCGTGGCCTTAGGCAAACAAGTAATATAAACAACCCAGTTAAGTGGAAGATGTACCTTTTCGTTCCAGACAAACTAATTACGAAGTATTTTAGCCTCCCACACAAATCACTGGAACGTGGCGGGGATGGGGTGGAGGGAGGGTGGAGTTGGAACACTTATTTTTCATTTAGTACGAACTTTAACTATGTTTACGAAATAAAATATGATCCGCCCTAAGAGGCCTTGTAGGCATGAAATTCCTTCCAACACACGGACAGCTTTTGTTTTCTTTCTTTTCTGAGGACAGCTTAACACCTGGGAGGCGAAAATAAATACGTTATCAAGTGAAAAAAACAAGTGGAAAACAAAATTACGTCCATAAGCTACTACTCCACATAAATTTGACTATCTGAGGCAAAGCGACGAACTACTGCCTGAACCGCAGCGAGGAACCAGCCATTCCTTATTTTCCTTACCTGAAGTCGCCATACCTCGAAGTTTCAAGTTACCTGTTCCATGGTGGAAAGGAGACTGCTCTCTGCTCGACGTGGTCTGCTTGGCGAAGGCAAAAAATGCAACGCACTTCTAACTACAAGGGCGTCAAGCTACTAATGACATACTTTCATTCATGAACAGTGGATGGGACAAAAACTACTGGAGAGCAAAAAGCGCCACTTTCGATTCCCCCATTTCAATAACTACTCCAAACTCGAGTTTGTAGGTTAGATCTAATCTTTATCAACAGCAAAAGTCAACGGCAAAGGAACATGTACAACCACACTGAGCACAGAGAATAGACTTAAGTGGTATCGGGGAGGCAATAATGCAAACCAACACCAAACCATGGTTAGAGATGGTGGTATCACAGCTGAAAAATATCTGGCCGAGTACGAGAATCCTCCTCTTCGGGACTTAGGGGAATAAAAAGTTCACGCAATGGATCCTTCGCGGCGTCGTAGGTGGGTACGGAGAGACCTAG